GATCCCTTGCGAACCGAAAGGCTGCTGCGCCAAGCGAGAGCCGAGCATTTAACTGGCTTAGGAAATCTGTGGTATCTCCGCAGACCACACAGAGCAGAGCAGACCGCAGGTCTGGCGCGAGTTCAAGCCATGACGAACTCTCCCGAAGTGTGGGGGGAGTGCAGGCGGCGAATCCAAGGCAGTTGCTGCCATCTAAAGGACAATGTCAGTACGTCGGGTAAAATAGCCGGGGGTGGGGGCGCGCGCGGGTGGGGCGGGTGTTGGGGGTGGGGGTGGCGGGGGGTGGGGGAGAAAAACAACCAAACCTGACGGACAGGCGACTGATTTAAAGGAAAATTTTCCTTCCTTCTGCAATCATTTCACATATCGGCAAAGGAACCAGAAGGGGAGGCGAGGAGGCAATTTTTTTTTTTGTTAGCGTTGTTACGGTCTGGAAGGCAACAACAACAACAACTCGGACTTATACCGCGCCCTCGGGGCCGGACGGGGGTCTCAGAGCGGGACAGGGACTCGAAAAGGAACAGGGCTACGGGGGTAAGAGCGGGGAAGTGGGACTCTTTCAAAGAGCCATCCCAGGTACGATGGGGCCGGATGGCCTCCCCGCGCGGCTGTACGATTCCACGATACCATGAAAAAAAAACCCCAAAGGTATACATTTAAATATTTCTTGGTCCGAAGGCACTGTTGAAACGCTCATTTATACAACAACCCTCGCATGCGACGCAGCGGCTTATAACGTCTTCCGGGCGTCTCAAAGTACTGCAAAGTGAATGGACTGCAATATTTTGTTGGCGAAACGCAGCAGCGGTGTCCCACGAACAGCTGCCCCAATTGCGTGCGTGTGTTTTTTTTTAAAAAAAGGGATTATTATCCACCGATCGACTAACAACCGGGTTCCTACTCATTGCGAGGCAAACACAGGTGTGCGGAGTATGGAAATTTGCCTAATCAAACCCAGGTCATCTCACTTGCGAGGCAGTCGAGCGACCTAACCACTGTGCCTCGGGACTCGATGTTTTACTGCACTCACGTGCGTAGCTTTCCTTCCAGATTAAACTCCCGTCTTCGACTATGTTATTCATTTACCGTTTAATGGAGCGCAAATTCCGTCCACCTTCCCCACAGAGCCTCACCTCAATCTACCTCTGCGACCCAGGCTTCTCAGCAAACTCCCTCCAAACCCCCCCCCCACCCCCACCACACACCACCACCGACCTGCACATGTCCACACCCCGTCACACCATCGGTAGGTAAGCACTCAACCTTTCTTCCACCTCTCCATGAAATACCATCCTGGAGTATGAAGTGCCTTTCCTGTTATAATAATAATAATAATCCTTGCATTTGATAGAGCGCTTTTCACGGCGGGAGGACGTCCCAAAGCGCTTCACAGAACACACTGTAAAGTGAATTACGTTGGCAGGACATCGCAAAGTGCTTCGTACACCTGACAAGAACCCGAACTGATTTGTTGTGGGTGGGTTTGGGGGGGGGAGCTAAGGAGGGGAGGGGTGAAGGTCGCTGAAGGCGCAGATGATCCGAGATAGGTCCTAAACCGCTTTTGAAGACGGACCGACTCTGCGACGGAGTTCCAGAGAGCTGGGGGCGCCGGGTGGGGGTGGGGGTGGGGGGCAAAGAAGCCTTTCCACACAGCACGAGTGCTGCAAACCCGGTATAGACTGCGTCAAACTCCATGCTATCTTTGCACAGCTTTTAGTGCTATTCAACCAGATATATTGGTTTAAAAAGAAACACTGAATAAATTCTTTGAAATCGGAGTGCCACCTGGTGGTAATCTCAGGAACAGGAGTCCTGGACCTCAGTGGTTGCGGGAAGCGAGAGGACCCCGGGGTTCGATTCCCGGCCGGGCGAAACTTCCGAGGAAATTTCCTTACTCCGGACGCCTCTGCTTGCCTAGCAGCAAGCAGGAACCTGGCTGTTAGTCGATCGGTGGATCGCTTTTCCGGGGGGTAAACAGTCCCCTCCAAAAAAAAAATAATAATAATAATAATTTGGTCACCGAATCCCGCGACTGTGGCTGCCGCGTTTCGACCACGAAACGTACCGTCAATTCATTTCACAGTATATTCTGTGAAGCCCTTTGAGACGCCTCCCAGACGTGATAAGGCGCTGTAGCAAATGCAAGGATTATTATTACTACTACTACTACTACTACAGGTTGTTGCTCCTCCTTCCTGCACCAGGCTACCCACCCCCTCCCTACCCATCCTTGTCAGAAGCCACTGAATCCCAATCCCGAGACAAGCCCGGCACAGTCGGTAGCACCGAGTCAGAAGGTTATGGGCTGAAGGGCGTTGAGTTCACGAGCGACACCGACAGTCCTAAGCAGTAAGTAATAACGCCTGCATTTGTCATACAGCCATTCCGAAAGATGGCACCTCCATATAAGGCAAAGCACCACTGGGCGTAATCCTAGACTACGCGGGGTCAAATAATATTATTATTTAATAATAATAATACCATCCGTCAATCGACTAACAACCGGGTCCTCCCAACTTACTGCTGCGTAAGTCGGGTAAGGAAACTTGCCTAAGGTTTCGACTTGCCCGGGCATCGAACCAGGATCCTCTCGCTTGTGAGGCGAGTGCTCGAACCACTATGATATATATATATAGTATATATATATCAAATATACAGTCAATTCACTTTACAGTATATTCTGTGAAGCGCTTTGGGACGTCCTCTCGACGTGAAAAGCGCTATATCAAATGCAAGGATTATTATTATTATTATTATGATACCAGCTCGAAAGTCCCGATGTGGGGCTCGAACCCAAAACCTTCCGACTCAGGCACGAGCACAGTCACTGAGCCACAAGTGCTGGGGGAGTACGGCATTGTTGAAGGTGACATACTCCCCCCCTGGCACTACTCGAAAACAGTAGGGAGGTTCTCTCTCCTGGAATCCGTGTCGACAATCCCACAGGTAAAATTGGTCATTCACCCACGGCTGTTTGTGCGACACTGCCGTCCGCAAATCCGCTGCCACGTTTCTTCTGCAAACTACACAATTACCACACTTTCTCGTGAATCAACGAAGAGCATTGCGCCGCCCTAATCGTATTAACACGGCGATTATTATTCACGCGTGGAATCACACATTTGTTCGTATGTACAATCAAAGAGAATATTACAGCGCAGAAGGCTGACATCCGGCTTGACTGATCCATTCGGAGACCAAACCACAAAGGAAACCGCCTTCTTATTCCAACAGCTTTGAGGAAGGACAGTTCCTCTGACTGTGCAGCGCTCTACTGCTGCATCAGAGTTTCACTGTATCGTCATTTCGCTTTGCAGTATATATACCGTGAGGCGCTCTGAGAGTCTCCAAGTCGTGATAATGCACTATATCAAATGCAAGGATTATGATGATTATCATTATCATTATTGTAGAGTGGTATCCAACACTACAAGTCCAGGTTTGGTCCCACACCTTCTGACCCAACTGAACAAAGCCATCAACGGCACCTGTGAGCACTTTGGACCCGTCCGGCCCAGGACCAGGCGACGAAGACGCCTTGAATCTGATGTTCCATTGAGTCAATTTAAAGAGTGAATTGGACATTTAAAGAATGAATTGGAACATGGCCCAGCTCCGCCACGCTCCCTCACCCCAGCCCGCTGAGACCCTCGTCCACCCATTCATCACGTCTAGGCCAACCCCCCCCCCCCCTCACTGCCCGGCGGCCTCCCCAACTCTTCTCTCCGAGGGCTGCCGGTCATCCGGAACGCTGCAGCCCGCGTCCTCATCCGCACCAGGCTCCGCGATCCTATCGCCCCCCCCCCACCCCACCCACCCATCCCTCGCCCCGACTCCACTGTCTCCCCATCGCGCAGAGGAGACAGATCAAGACCTCCCTTTAAAGGTCCTCTCTCCTCCCTTCGTGGCCTCCGAATGTAGTCAATCCACTTATACAACACAATATGTCCTGTGAAGCGCTTTGAGGCGTCTCGACGAGGTGACAAGGCGCCATGTCAAATGCGAGTATTATTTAATATAGTAGTAATAATAATATAATAATTATTATTATTATTATCATCATTCAAGCGGCACTCAAAATGGGTGAAAGGGAGACAGTGAAGAGTAATAACAACAGCAGCAACAATGCCGGCATTTGACGTAGCGCCTCATCGCGTCGTCGAGACGACTCTTCACGGAATGGGGGCATTACAAGGGCGACAATCCCTTCGGAAATAAAATACTAATAGTAATAATAATTTGGTCACTCGATCCACGACTGTTTGTGGGGGGGACGCTGCCGCTGCTGCTGCTGCTGCGCAATTGCCTCCTCCCTCCCCCCCCAGACAGACACACACACACACTCACCACCCCCCCTCCCTCCCTGTCCCTCTCTGTGTCCCCCCCCCCTCTCTCTCTCTCTCTCTGTGTGTCCCTCTCTGTGTCCCTCTCTCTCTCTCTCTCTCTGTGCCCCTCTCTCTCTCTCTGTGTGTCCCTCTCTCTCTCTCTCTGTGTGTCCTCTCTCTCTCTCTGTGTCCCTCTCTCTCTCTCTCTGTGTCCCTCTATCTCTGTGTGTGTGTGTCTCTCTCTCTCTCTCTCTCTCTCTCTGTGTCACTCTCTGTGTCCCTCTCTCTCTGTGTGTGTCCCTCTCTCTCTCTCTGTGTCCTTCTCTCTCTGTGTCCCTCTCTCTCTCTGTGTCCCTCTCTCTGTGTCCCTCTCTCTCTCTGTGTCCCTCTCTCTCTCTGTGTCCCTCTCTCTCTCTCTCTGTGTCCTTCTCTCTCTGTGTCCCTCTCTCTCTCTCTCTCTGTGTCCTTCTCTCTCTGTGTCCCTCTCTCTCTCTCTCTCTTTCTCTCTCTGTGTGTGTGTCCCTCTCTGTGTCCCTCCCTCTCTCTCTCTCTCTCTCTCTCTCTCTCTGTGTGTCCCTCTCTGTCTCTCTCTGTCCCTCTCTCTCTCCCTCTCTGTGTCCCTCACCCCCCCCTCCCTCCCCCGGGGGGCCCAGGCTCGGGGCTGCCCCCACTCACCGAAGACGTAGACCACCCCGAAGGCGCCGCCGGCCCCCAGCAGCCCGGCCAGCCTGAGCACCACCTTCTTGGCGTAGGCCGTGTTCTGCTTCTGCTTCTGCCCTCCGTCTCCCCCTCCATCACCATCTTCTCCTCCTCCTCCTCCTCCTCCTCGGTCGTCCCTCTGCGGCTGCGGCGGCGGCGGCGGCTTCTCCTGCAGTATGGCCTGAGTCAGGCCGCCGCCGCCGCTCCCGCCGCCTCTCCCCGTCGTCAGGCCCCGCCACTCGCCTGACCACCGCCACTTCACCTCATAACTTTTCGCCGCCGACCTCCTGCGGCCGGCGGCGGGGCCCCGGCAGCGCGCGGCGTCGGCGGACAGGTAGCAGCGGGTCGCCCGCTGACACATGGACCTGAGCGACGCCGCCATTTTGGTCGGTCCTTCCCTCCCTCCCTCCCTCCCGCCGTCCGCCTCGACCGAACTTGATCCCGCCCCGCCCTTCCGGCGTGAGCGACGCGGGCCACCAACCAACCGGCGGGCCGCCCTGCCGGGTCGCTGACGTCACCCGACCAATGGGAGCGGGGCCGGGGGGCGGGACCGAGGGGCGGGGCGACCGACAAGTTAGGTTGCGCCGCCTCTCTGTTACTCCCCTTCACACACACACACACACCCCCCACTCGCCCACAGTTAAAGGTCATCCATTGGGAACAAGGAGGAGGCCATTCAGCCCCCCCCAGCCCGTTCAGCCCCTCGTACCACGTTTCCCCCCCGATTACCCGCCTTTGGGCCCCGCGTTCGAGGGATCGTGGGGCAAAAGGAACCCGCGGCGCGGCGAGGATTAGCGTTTCGCCCACAAAACGCACAGTCACTACACTCCACGGCGTTATCGCCCGCCAAGCGCCCGGCGACGCCTCTCGAGGACGCGGCGTGGCGCCGCCGGGCCAGGGGCGCCTCCGCGTCGCGTCTTCCCGAGTCGTCTCGGGGGAAAGCGCTTGGGCAGAATCCGCCCGCCGCGAAGGTGTAGTGACTGTGTGTCTTGCGGGCGCGAGGCAGCAGCGTCCCCGCAGGCCGGCAGCCGCGGATTGAGCGAGTGACCGTCGCTCCACTCTTGCCCGCCAGGCAGAAGATGGGCAGAGCTGGGAGCTCAAAGACCACAGTGCCGGGGCCGTAATTTTGTCGGTCGGCGCTCCAATAAACCATGGGGTTGGGTTTGGGAGAGAACGCTGCAATTGTCCGGAGCTTCAGCTGAAAGGAACAAGATGTACGTCAGCCTCGTTCAGTTGGTTAACACTCCAGGCACGTTGGGGCTTTGAACTCAAGTCATCTCATCACGACCGGGGTTGACGACCGAACAAGGCGGACACTTATTACGATCGCTTTCCAATGGTTTGGGACGTCAATCGGAGGTCTTGTAGTTTGGGGGGTGGGAAGTATTGTAGATGACTTAGGTTTTTTTTATTCAGAGCCAAGATAAGTCACGACTAATCCTCCTTAACCTTCGCTGCTGCTGTAAAAAACAAGAGATTATCTTACACTATCTTCGTAAAATGTTACTCATTCAAACGATGAGTTCAACAAAACTGCGCTCACAGTTGCTCAAGGGTTTTGCTATGTGCAGATGATCACGGCTTTTGATACAGCGCTTTATCACAACAACAAAATTACACTTATAGAGCGCCTTTCACGTCTTCGAGACGTCTTAAAGCGCTTGACAGAATATGTATACTGTCTATTGTGCGGGCGAAATATATAGGGGACGTCAGAATTCACCTTTTTAGCCTTTTACAATTAAAGAATACACATTGTATTAAGATCTCCAGTCCGTTTAATGACTCTACTGAGAACAGAAATGTTTACAAGCTCAAATATTGGCCATACAATGGTATTTCCAGACGATAGAAATATAATTTACATTAAGAGGAGATGTACAGCAAACACAATGGCAAATTACAGATCATCGCAGTGGTCATTTGCAAACCTAAGAGTGACGCAAGACTCTTCATTGAAAGAAACAAGTTGCTTAAGACCGGAGGGCCAGACAATTTTGTTGACTCAAGTCCAGGATGGTAAAACATTGGTTTCAGTCCATGGTTTTTATTTTTTTAAACAGTGTACAGAAACCGGACACTTGAATTACGATCGAAGACTTTCTCTCCCATCAGATCTCCGCTACCGCTCGACAATTTGCAAAGGGTGCGTTGCTCTCGTGACGCTAACAGTCGCGCAAGTGGCTGCTGGACGCGAGAGAGACGCGTCCCGATCGACGAGGCTACAGAACGCTTGTGACTTTCCGATTTCAGCCGTCTTAAGGGACAGGTAATGGAGTGAACCCATTTCAACAGCAGCAGCAACTTGCATTCATATAGCGCCCCCCAACACACACACAGACGCACGCACACACACTCACACAGGGTAGCGTCCCAGAGTGCTTAAATATCGCAGCTTATTTGAAGAATAAATCAGACTGGTATATGAGCAGCTGTGGTCATCACTAAGGAAAGACAGTGAAGCCCAGTGCGGAAACAGAATACAACAGTCACGTTACCTTGCGATAAGGGGAAAATGCAGATAAATGCAGCTGTAATAATCAGGAGAAGACTGCAGTTAAATGTCAGCCTCTGTGGAAAAAAAATAGCATTGCAATCGCTGGGGAGGGGGTGAGAGGGAGAAGAGAAAACAATTCGATTCTGAAACTTGGAACGTACAACTTGAAAGCAAGTACGATCCGTTCAAGACTTCAAAGTACAGGGGGACCAAAACGTTGTGATACCATTACAACGTCTAACAAGTCTGAAAAGAATTTTTTTTGTTTGACTTTAAGATTAAAGGGTAGCTGACATTTAATCTAATAAGAACGTAACAGCGGATTCCGTCTGCAGAAACAAAGTCATTATTATTAAAATAAAGGCTATCACGACTTTTGGGTCACCCCCTGTGTAAACCCAGTGCACTTTTCTTGTCGAGTTCAGCGGATAAACTGAAGTCGGGTTGACTTCCGCTCTCGTTGTGTGATACACTAACCATGGACTCACCGAGCTACGGGCTTTGTACCAACCACTGCTGATGTCTGACTACAGTAAGCACGACCTCAGCACCAAAGCACTTAAACACAAAAGAGGAAAAGGAACCCTAAGAACAATAACAAAAAAAAACTTCACAGTTAAAAAGGGCGACTTATATTACTTCCGACTATATCCGTCCTTCCCCGATGACGTGGCGTTGAAGGTTCCCTCCTCGCTGAGGATTCCGAGGAAGCGCAGGTTGAGGATCTTCAGCTGGTCATCGAGTTCCATCCGGACGATCCCGTCCTCGCCGTCGATACTGAGGAGCATTCCCGTGGCTTCCCGGTCTTCGCCCAGAATCACTTTCACCTGCAAACAAAAACGCGGAAAACTGTGACCTTCAATGTTCCCGGGGATTTTTTTTTCTCTTCACATGCTTGTCCCTATCCTCCACCTCTACTGATCTCAAAATCTGGAGCTCTCGCCCCCAAAAGACTGTGGATTATGGCTGGATCCATAATCCAGTGGGTAGATGTTTGTTAGGCCACAATATCAAGGGATACGACTATAGAGAGGCTCTCACTGTTAATATCAGGCTATATAGAGGTGCTCACTGTTAATATCAGGCTATATAGAGGTACTCACTGTTAATATCAGGCAATATAGAGATGCTCACTGTTCATCTCGGGCTATATAGAGGTTCTCACTGTTAATCTCAGGCTATATAGAGGTTCTCACTGTTAATCTCAGGCTATATAGATGTTTTCACTGTTAATATCAGGCTATATAGAGATGCTCACTGTTAATATCAGACTATATAGAGGTTCTCACTGTTAATCTCAGGCTATGCAGGGGTGTCACTGTTAATCTCAGGCTATATAGAGGTGCTCACTGTTAATATCAGTGGATTATTATTATTACTATTATTCCGAGCCCCTTATACTCGTGCACGTTGACAAGCAGGCTTGATGCCTGAGACAAGGCAAGGAACACGTAGCATTTACTGATAAACACCCGAGTGTCTGTCAGTGCTACAGCCAGAACTAAAATATCTGACTTGCATCGTTAGGTACATTTGTGCGGTCCAAACTTTTGGCTGCCGAGGGACGGATGTTCTATTTGAAACGTCTATTTTTGGGTCTCCCTTCCAGAAACATAACTTAACAACTCTTACGGGTTATGGAGGGAGCGGGTGGGTCAGATGAAGTGCAGAGAGGGGCAGGCGGGCGGGGGCTGGATGCAGCCCCCCCAGTTGGACCGCTCTGAGGTACATCATCAGTTTGAGGAACTCATTCTCTGGTGGCGAATGAGAATCGCTGGTGGAAGAGGGGAAAATAACGTTTCCGCTGGCAAAAGGATTCTCCTACCTTATCGTTTTTCACAGGCGTGACAGGTTCCAGATGCTCACTGGAGATACTGACCACTTTATCAGTGTCCGACAGATATACCGAACACAAACCACCCTGCAGGAAGAGAAGAGTCAACGGGTCTTCAAACTTGTACAATTCATTGGGATGTATAAATTCACGTCAGGTCTAATCAAAGGCCGCTTTTATTTATTTAGAGGTCGTACTACAACAACTTACTTTATTTAGATAGCTCCCTTCACCCCAGTCAACAGCTCAGAATGCTTTAAAGGGTTTGGAAGGGGGGAGGGGGGAGAAGAGAGAGAAGGTGGCCATAAGCACGTTCAAGACTGAAGTGGATAGCTATTTGTTAGGTCAGGGTATTAAGGGATACGGGGCAAAGGCTTGAGGAACAGATCAGCCATGATCTTATGGAATGGTGGAACAGGCTCGAGGGGCTGAATGGCCTCCTCCTGTTTCTGTGTTCGAAGAAATACGATTTGAGACGGGGCATCGAAGGAGGCAAGACGGAGCCGTAGAAGGGGCCAGAATTTAGGGGCCTGGGAACGGAAGGATAGTGGCACAGGGAAGTCAGAAGCAGGCAAGAAGCCTGGGTTAGATGATCGGAGTAGGAAGGTAGGAGAAAATCAGGTGGGGGGAGGGGGGTGCCAGGGAGAGTATAGATTTGCAGGTAACGGTGAGAGCCCCAAAATTGATCCGTTGATGGAGATGGAGAGCCAGTGTCACACCTTCTAATAGGGAAGAACATCCGTGGAAACCTTACAATTATGTTTGTTTGTGTTGTGTTTGACGTCACATACCGACACACTGCGGATCATTCCGATCTGACCGATGACCTGTGCGTCCAGGTAGGTATCACGCACTTTAACCTGGATATCGGTGGTGACCCAGTCGTTGGAGCCCTGATCGATGTTGGAGCCCGGCGTGTGTGGGTTGTAAGCCCCAGGAGATGGAGCTCCAGGGGTCATTGGGCTGTATCCTACAGGGCTCGGACTTGGACTCGCCTGTAAACACAACGCACGCCATGAATAAACAGGAATGAGGAGACGCCGTGTGTTTGCTCAGACTGGAAGACATTATTCCTTCCTTCGGATGAGGCGTTAAAGCCAGGTGCCTGTCCGGACGTCCTCCTGACGTGAAAGACGCTGCGTAAACGTCATGCGTTGCTGTCGCTGAGTCACTGAAACGTACCTGGTATGCCATGGGTGAAGGTGTTGGGTGGTAGCTGGCGGGTGAGTGAGTATTCTGATAGCCCACGGGGCTGGGAGCCACCTGGTGATAGCTCTGCGGGCTGGGGCTGGGCTGGTAGGACCCTTGAGGCGATGGAGCTGCATAGGGAGAGAACTGGTCTGTGTTGTACCTGAAATGCAGACACGTGGGGGAAGGAAGATTAAGAGACGCGTTTGATGTTACAGGCACTGCATAAAATGCGAGAATTATTTATCTGAGATGGCGGCAGTCAGTCGAAAGCACTGAGGGATTATGACTATATATCGAACATATCGAACCCGGGTCCTCTCGCTCGCGACATGGATGCCCTAACCACTACATTACCGAAACCCCCAAGCCGAGTGCTTACATTGCCGGGGTTCCGGGGGTTTGAGGGTTGAACGGTGGGTTAACTTGGGGCGAGGGCACGTCTGTGTAGCCTGGCGTCTGCGGGTTGGGGGTTCCCCCGTAGGCCTGCGGAGATGGCGAGGGCTCGTCGTCGTACGGGAAGTCATATTCATCGTCGTTCCTGTGGAAACAGCGGGAATACAATAAATAACAACAATGATCCTTGAATTTGATGCAGCGCCTTTCTCACTTCGTTGAAACGTCTCAAAAGCGCTCCACGGCGTATTCTGTCAAGTGCGGTGACTGTGTATTTTGTGGGGGAAACCCGGCAGCCAACTGTGCCCAGCAGGGTCCCACGTTAGTCGTGGATTGAGTGGACCACTTTTTTTTTCCCGGATGGATTACTACCCCTGGCAAGCGATCCACCAATCGGCTAACAACCAGTTTCCTAATTACTGCTGGTAAACAGAGGCCCGCGTGTTTGTACACACGCCTGTGTGTGTGTGTGTAGTAAAGAAACTTGCCTAAGGTTTCGCCCTGGCCTGACCCGCCCGGGATTGGAACCCAGGTCCTCTCGCTTGCGAGGCGAGGGGTCTAACCACTACGGTACGGCATTTGTACCCTTCCTTGTGTGTTTCTCACAAGGCTTTGCTGCCAGCACCCGTCATTCCCGAGTTACAAACCTGGAGGGCGTGTTGGGATTATTGGGATCCCACGCACCGCTCTGTCCCGGTGTCCTGCTTCCATCGTGAATTGGAGTCTGGGAGCCGTAATGTGGAGTTCGACTCCCTGGGAACAGAGAGACAAGTCAGGAACATCCTTCCCTTTACAACTGCTCGAGTTACAGAGGAAGGCGCACATCACTTAAGAGATCCCATTGCTCGAAAAGCATATTGAAGCCATTTAATAATAATAATAAAAATCCTTGCGTTTGATATAGAACTTTATCACGTCGTTGAGACGTCTCAAAGTAAAGTGCAGCGACTGTGCATTTTGTGGGTGAAACGTGGCATCCAATTGCGCACAGCAGTGTCCCACGAACAGCCACGGATTGAGAGATCAAATTATTATTATTTTTATCATTTATTTTTGTTTTGAAGGAATTATTATCCCTGGAAAGCGATCCGCCAATCGACTAACAACCGGGTTCCTACTTACTGCTGGTAAACAGAGGTGTGTGAGTGTGGAGTAAGGAAACCTGCCTAAGGTTTCGCCCTGAACCTTCTGGGAATTATAGTCCTCGCTTGCGAGGCGAGAACTATAACCGCTGAGCTACAGGACTCCACGACTTTACCCAAACCATCAAACGTTAGGTGAAAGAATCAATCTTACCATCATGCAACGGTGTCTGAGAGCCGTACATTGGTGTCCGGGATCCAGAACCGTACATGGGAGTCTGGGAGCCATACATTGGGGTGCGACTGTAAGCGGATGTTAAGCCACCCTTCTTCTTGGAGTCCCTGAAATCCAGAAGTAAAATCGTTAACTTGGAAAAGGGTGACATCAAGGTGTCCCCAGAGGGCAAGGAGGCATTGCCAGCTGCCCTACTCACTCATTATCCAGTAAACCACTCACCCATTCATCCACCTCTGCTCAACCTAAACAACATAAGAATAGGAGCAGGCCATTCAGCCCCTTGAGTCTGTTCCGCCATTCTACAAGATCATGACTGATCTGTACATCAACTCCGAATACCCTCCCTTGCCCCACATCCCTTAATCCCGACATAAGCAACTGCTCTCCTCACCAAACAACTTGCACTTGTTTAGAGCACTGGGATGTGCCGAGCGAAGGAGAAGGAGACTGTGGACGCAGTCAGAAGTAGACTTTAAGTTTGGATTTAAAGACAGAAGTACCCAGGTGGAGTTGGGGGGGGGGGGGGGGGGGGGCGGGGGTGCGGAGAGGGGATAGAAGCCTGTGTTAGCTGAGCAGAGGAGGCTCAACGACAAGCGGACCCTCCCAGCACAACTAAGATAGCTGTTACCCAGTTAGCCTCGCTCATTCACACACACACACTGGGAGCACATTCCCCCCTGACTGGGCTCCTTCAGTAAAGCTCCGCACTTACACTGTAGTGAGTCGCTGGCGATCCACAGAAATGGTCTGACACGTGGAGTGGAGCTCAACTCGCGCAGTGGATTCTGTGGCGTCTTTCACAACGCCGATGTACCCTGAGGAAACGAGCACAGACGCTGACGGTCATACTGAGTTCTCCTTGTGCGTATTTCTCTCGCAAGAAAAAAAATCCACACTTTAACTGGAAGGTATGGAGGGAGCAGGTGTCCCAGATGAAATAGGAGGGGGGGGGGGGGGGGAGATTAAAATTGTCCCGTGGGCCGAATCCGGCCCGTGGGCCGCCAGTTGAGCGACCCTGGTAAACTCATGCATCACAGAAATCAAATAACCATTTACTGCCACAGCTGAAAATATTTCTTTGACGTGTGTTTTTCTCTTGCATCTCCTCATTCATTTTACTCAAGACTGGGCATTTATTCTTCTTGCCTTCCATGGTTTTAACCCACTTCTCAAATAAACGTATTCTTTAAAAGCCAAGGACGAGATTTTGTTCAGCCTGAAGCATTTTGTTGGCACATATTTTCCTTTGAACATAGACACGCAATGAAATACTATAATGTGGCTTGAAGGGACTGTGGACTGTGCGCCTATTTTAATTTGCATAACGACTTCCATGTCGGGAGGGTGTCCCAAGGCGTTGGACAGTCAGGGATTTGGACCCGAGCTGGAAGTTGGGATCGGGAGGGGTGGATGGCAGGTAGGGTGGAACTCGGAGGGTGGCCGAAAGCGCGATCGAAGAGGAGGGCCTTGTATGGTATATTTACCTTTGTAAGGTCCTTGTGAAATCCGGACTGTCTGGCCAATCAAATCGTTATCCCTGCGGCCTCGCCCACGGCCCATTCCCCCTTGTCCTCCAAATCCACCTCGAGGGGCTTGAAGATAATAACAACAACAATAATAATCCTTGCATTTGATACAGCGCTTTTCACGTCTTCTCGACGTCTCAAAGCGCTTCACAGAATATACTGTAAAGTGAATTAACTATATATTTGTGGGCGAAACGCGGCAGCCAATTGTGCACAGCATCGTCCCACAAACAGTGGTGGATTGAGTGACCAAATTATTATTATTTTATTGATTTCTTTATTACTCCCAGGAAGCGATCCAACAATCGATTAACAATCGGGCTCCTACTTACTGCTAACTAAACAAAGGTGTGTGTGTGAAGTAAGGAAACTTGTCTAAGGTTTCGCCCGGACCCGCCCGGGAATCAAACCCGTGTCCACTCGCTTGCGAGCTACAGAACTCCGTTAAAAAAAAACTACAAGCATTAGATATTTGCGAGTGCACTCACCTCCACCGCTGGAGTGCATGGGGCTGCTGATCCGAGGGCTCATGGGAGCAAATCCACTCACTGTGAAATTTGTCACGTCTCTTGGCTTTAAAAACAGTTTNAAAAAAGAGTTTCTAATCGCACGTCAGTCTTCAGTGTCACACTCCCCGCCCTCCGCCCCTCCTGATCCCAATCCCAGCTCAGGTACAAATCCCTGACTGTCCAGCGCCTGGGGACGTCCTCCCGACGTGAAAGGTGCCATGTGAACCTAATGTGTTGCTGTGTTTTAATAGCTTTTAGTTACGTTGTGTTTTAAACAAATGTCATTTTTATTAAAACGTACTCTTAGTACTTTTTGGCGCATGTGAGTTGTGAACTAAGGGATAGGAAGAGGAGAGAGAACCATTGTATCTCCTCCGTGGAATGCTCTACATTTTTACACCCTTACCTTTGCTCCTCCAGCTAGGACCAAATGCCGTGTTTTGCAAACGAACATGCCCCCGTTCTCCACCAGCTTCTTGCAGTGCAGAAAAGCAAAGCCACGGTACAAGTGTCTAATCTCACCCTCGCGACCCTGAAAGGGAGAGTGTTCCGCATGATTACATGGATTCAGTTGAGGAGTGAAAATAAGAATCTTACAGCACAGAAGGAGGCCATTCGGCCCATACCAGCTCTTTGAAAGAGCCATCCCAACTCCCCCCGCTCTTACCCCATAGCCCTGCTCATTTTTCCTTTTCAAGTACCTATCCAATTCCATTTTGAAAGCTATTATTCAATCTGTTCCCACCATCCCATCAGGCAGTGAATTCCAGACCATAGCAACTCTCTGGGTAAACAAAACTCTCGTCGTGTCCCCTCTGGTTCTTTTGCCAATTATCTTAAATAATTTCAGAAGGAACTTATCCTTTGGTGTCCGCTGGTAACTGACCCGCCCACCCACCAGAGGAAACAGTTTCTCCTTATTGACCCATTCAAAACCCCTCATAACATTGAACACCTCTATTAAATCTCCCCTCGAACTTCTCTGCTCTAAGGAGAACAATCCCAGCCTCTCTAGTCTCTCCACATAACCGCAGTCCCTCATCCCTGATGCGATTCTTGTAAATCTCCTCTGCGCCCTCACCAAGGTCCTGACATCCCTCCTCTGAAGTGTGCTGGCCAGAATTGGGATACAATACTCCAGCTGAAGCCTAAACAGTGATTTATAATGGTTCAAAATAACCTGCTTGCTTTTACTTGTAATGAGCTTCATAACAGCTGGCCGAGGGAGGCTTACCGAGTGCGGTCCATCGATCACTTTGACAATGTCCTTGACGTGAATATTGTTCTGCTCGGAGTCCAGAGCCACAGCAAAGCGGTTGTCCTTCTTCCTAGTTATTGCCTGGTGCCTGACTGTAATCACCTTGCCGTACATGTTGAGAACCTGGAAGACAAACATTACAGAGTTTTCCCTCAAGTATACAGTACCCGCAATCCCCTTTTAAATGCTCTTACAAACTCGCATTTTCAAGACTGAGATGGATAGTTATTTGCTTGGTCAGGGTTTCAGGGATATGGGGCAAGGGCGGGTATTTGGAGTTGAGGTACAGATCAGCCATAATCTTATAGAATACCGGAACAGGCTCGAAGGGCTGAATGGTCTAGAGGGAGGGGGGAGGTGACCATAAGCACAATCAAAAAGGAAGGTCTTTGGGCGGGATAAATAAATTAAAGTGTTAAATTAAAGAAATCGATCCATAGAATTAAGAAGCAAGTGACTTGTTTGGAAAAACTACTGGGAATCAATGTTTATTTGCAAAAATTTTACCTGGAAAGTCTCTCGCTCCAACCGGACAATAACTCCCATGGTTTGAGGATCGAGTTGCACCAGCTCTCCCCACTCGTGCTGACCGCCAGCATCTACCCCGGACGCTGTCTCAGAACACAGCTGCAAGTCCCTCGGAAGCACTTTCAGCTGAAATGCACGGCATCACGCGAGTCAACATTACGCCTCCGTTATGTACAACTCACTCCACAATAAAACATATAGTTGATAACAGATAGTTGCCTTTCGCGTCTGGGGCTGCAAAGGGAGTGTCAGCTGATGGATCGCGGCGAGGAGCGGGAACCCTGGCTGCATTTCCCTCTCCCTCGGTATTTTAACAATTAATAAATAATAATAATAATCCTGGCATTTGATATTGCACCTTATCTCGTCTTCCGAGACGTCTCAAAGCGCTTCGCAGAATATACTGCAAAGTGTAGGGACTGTGTATTTTGTGAGCGAAAAACCCGGCAGCCAATTGCGCACAGCAGCGTCCCACAAACAGTCCTGGATTTAGAGACCGCATTATTATTATTTTTTTAAAAGATTATTACCCCCGGAAAGCAATCCCCCGATTGCCTAACAACCGGGTTCCTACTTACGGCTAGGTAAACAGAGGCGTGTGCGTGGAGTCAGGAAACTTGCCTAAGGTTTCACCCTGTCCCGGAATTTTTCGATTTATGATTCATTATACTAAACCATCACAAAGCATCACAACAGTTTGCATTTATACAGTACGCTTCACGTGAGTGGCGTCTTGGACCAAGGTCACAGCATTATTGGCTGTGAGACTGATACTCCAATCCAAAGTAAAGCATTCCTTAGTCTGACGCTCCTCTGTGCAAACATTACTCCTAACTTCCCCTCCTTTCTTGTCAGTGATCATCCTCAATTTATGCCCTCATTACTGTTTTAACAATCTGTGGCGATAAGACAGTCTGTCTCGATTTCCCTCCGATTTAAAGCCACGCATCATTTTCAAACCTCCCCCATTTACATTCCCACCGTTTCACCCTCCGTTTCAGAGGTGCCGTTATTAAACCTTACCTCGTGCATGGTCAGGTCCGAAAACAGAATGACGAAATTCTCCTCCACTCGCACAATCAGTCCCGTGTCTCCCTCGTAACGACCCGCGATCACTTTCACGTGGTCTCCCATCTTAAAGTATTTACGCAATTCATGGGCTGGAAACTCCAAAGGATCCTGTAGGGACATGACGGCTGTGTGTTGATCTGAATCTACTTGTGGGCATTCTACAACAACAACAACTTGCATTTACACAGCGCCCCCTCACACAGTGTAGGGCTCTTGACAGTGGCAGAGCATGACAACTGAAGCGCTAGTATTTATTCAACCGTTGGCACGTAACTCCTTATGATACCCTTTGTAATAGCACAACAAACTATACATTGGGACTATATTAAAACTGAGTTTTAAAAAATATTAATAAGAAGAATCCTTGCATTTGATATAGCGCCTCACCACATCGTTGAGACGTCTCAAAGCGCTTCTCAGGATATACTGTAAAGTGAATTGACTGCATATTTTGTGGGCAAAATGCAGCAGCCAATTGCGCAAAGCAGTATCCCACAGACGTGGATTGAGTGACCAAATTATTGTCGTAGCTTAATAGATTTGTTTAAATTAAAGATTTGGGCATTAGTTTTACCTATATACAATATATATTATGTAGCGTCTTTCACCAGAAGACGCCTCAAAGTGCCTAACATCACCTCCCTTTTTCTTTTGGAAAGCGGAACCATAGAAATGACAGCGTACAAAACGATCATTTGACCCATCGAGTCCATGTTGGTGCAAACAAATACGGGTCACCGTTGACACTGCGCTATCGTGCAATACAGAGGAATAACGTAAGATGGTTTCATTAAGAAACCGAAAACTTTCTGGGTGAAAGAAGACCAAGGTGCATCCAGTTTGTCTTCCACCATCCCGGCACTGGCTTCGCATGTTGTGGTCCCAAATTTTATACTGTACCCCGAGATTTTATTTCCAACTTCAAGTACCTTCAGATCCTCGTGTTTGGGAAGGATAGTGATCTTGTTCCCTTCCACACTCAGGATTTTCCCCTGCAGGTTGATCAACTCGCCCTCACACACTTCCACGTTGTCGCCAGGCTGCAGGTTGTGTTCTCTTTCTTTGCCTGAGAAAGCAAGGAGAAGCAAGGTTCAGTCACAGCAGAGTCCAAGCACCGATGATGGCAACAACAGCAGCAGCAAATGACATCTACAAGGCGCCTGTCACAAAAGGAGGACCTCGCAAGGCGTTGGACAGTCAGCTCCCCGCCTCCCCCAGGAATTAAATGCACACCTGTGGTTTCTGTCACCAACTCCAGATCAATGCCCTCTGGTTGATCCTCAAACTTTTCCAGTTCAGAAAGGGTTGGTTTGACTCCTTCGGTGATCTGCAACATACAATTAGCTACTCATTACATTTGGGTGAACTTGTGAGGCAGGAAAAATGACTTCCCCCACACCTCCGAAAGCACTCCGTAGCACAGAAATAAAACAATCCTTGCATTTGATAAACAATACAAAATTAAATTTAAATTTAAAATTAAACGAAATACACTGTAAAGTGAATTGACTGCACATTTTGCGGGAGAAAAGCGGCAGCCAATTTAAGCAGTGGCAACGAAACAAAAGTTTGGAAACACTTACAACTGCTGACATGGCAAAGCTTTTGAAAAGGAATCCTTTTCGGCTGTAGCGATTGCCTTCGAAAATGAGGAAGTCGCCATCGCTGGTGACATCACCCCCCAGTGACCTGTGTAAATGATTTGAACAAGCGATTAGATGGTGCAGCGTGAACGCAATTAAAATCGTCCTCGTTTACACATTCAATTCGCAACCACTGCAGACCCAGAACAGCAGAGCAATGCCAGGTGGAACTGTGCTTCACGTCAGCCCTAGCTATCACCCCGAACAGATCGGCCTTTAGATTAAAGGCAAGATACTGCGGACTCTGGAAATCTGAAATAAAAACAGAAGTCGCTGGGAACACGCAACAGGTCTATGGAGAGAGGAAAATTAGTTAACGTTTCAGGGCAACGACCTGAAATGTTAACTCATTTTCCTCTCTCCATAGATGCTTCCTGACCTGTTGGGTGTTCCCATCGATTTCGGCCTTTGGATTGCTCTAGCTAGCTTAAGGACGAGTATATTGGATGTTCTACCTATCTTGAGACAGGCATCACAGGACCACAGGTTGTGTGAGCGCACGATCTTTAAGTCAATTAAAATAATCTTATAATAACCCTTTGCATTGGACACAGAGCCTTGCTTGTCAGGATAAGATCTCAAAGCAACTCACAGGATATGCGGTAAAATAGAGTGACTGCGTATTTTATGGGCGAACAAGGTAGCCAATTAATAGCGCCATATCACGTCTTCGAGACGTCTCAAAGCTCTTCACAGAATATACTGTGAAGTGTAGTGACTGTATATTTTGCGGGCGAAACGCGGCAGCCAGTTGCGCACAGCAGCGTCCCACAAACAGTCGTGGATTGAGTGACTGAATTCTTTTGTTTAAATTTACCCCCGGAAAGCGATCCTCCAATCAACTAACAACCGGGTTCCTACTTTCTGCAAGGAAAACAGAGGCGTGTGGAGTAAGGAAACTTGCCTAAGGAATTAAACTCAGGTCCTCTCGCTTTTGAGGCGAGAAGCCTAACGACTGAGCTACAAGACTCCACATTTATATCTCAGTTTAGAGAAGACTATCGAAGCACCTGATTTTTTCCGCGTCAAACAAGCGTTGAAGTGGCCTCTTGAACCTCTTCCTTTTGGCAAACCAGTCTTTCTGTAGGTCATATTGAAAAGAAAACACTTCTTAAAAACAATCGAGGTCTTCCCACACACTGTTGGCACAGTTAATGAAAGCATCCCCGTCACTAAGATCTGAAGGTTCTAAGCCCGATCCCCAGCAGACGATACAATACAGGTTTACAGTTATAAAACAGCGCCTTTCGTGTCAACAACAACTTGCATTTGTACTGTCCCGCACCAGCTTCGGGACCACATCACCCCCCCGCTCGCCCACGCTCCCCCCCCAGAGATGCAGATCCCTCCCCCCCCACCCCCCCCCCCCCCCCCCCCCCCCCCCCCCCCCCCCCCCCCCCCCCCCCCCCCCCCCCCCCCCCCCCCCCCCCCCCCCCCCCCCCCCCCCCCCCCCCCCCCCCCCCCCCCCCCCCCCCCCCCCCCCCCCCCCCCCCCCCCCCCCCCCCCCCCCCCCCCCCCCCCCCCCCCCCCCCCCCCCCCCCCCCCCCCCCCCCCCCCCCCCCCCCGGTCAGAAACGTCAGCCGGACTCCCACTGAAGGTTTAATGATTTTTTTTTTTTTTTTTATAGCGTCACGTCCGGAGAAAGTCAGGGATGTCCATCTTAACTAGGTGTCAAGAGTAGCCGAACAGGCAACGTGGCTATCTGTTGCTAGAATGGAAACCAAGATGCGCTCGTACCAAACTCATTCGAGCCTTGATGCGCTCATAATCGATTCTCGGGATCAGTTTCAGAGAGATGGTGTTTTGGCTTGGCTCAACATAGTCGACCTGAGAAACAAGAGAGAGAAAGAAATCTTAAAAGGCCATTGGGATTCAAAGCTGGATAAGAATGCTCTCAGTAATAGAAGTAATAACAAGAACAAGATTACATTTGTATAGCGCCTTTCATGTCGGGAGGACGTCCCAAGTATTATTGTAATTATTGTAATATTATTATAAGCTACAGGACTCCACAATCAAATATTACACAGAGGCTAACCTTAACAACAACAACTTGCATTTATATAAGCGCCCCTGGATCCCAGAGCAATTGGTAAAACCAGAGATGCCTACCTGCGCAATATCATCCTTGTAGAGGCCTCTCTTTAGGCGAACCCAGGATTTGGGTTTGAGATTGGTCACTTCTTTCACCACCTTCAGCACGTCAGTCATTTCCTTGATGGGAACCATCTGCTGATTCCAGTAGCCTATCCTCAGGTTCCCCACGCCCTCGATGGCTTGCTTGACGTGGGTCTGCTTATACGCCTCGATGTAAATGTACCCCTTCACGTGCTCGGGGGACACAACTGACTTGATCTGGAGGGGCTGTGGGTAAAAGTAGTCTAGAGTTTTAATCGATAATTTTAGTTACCTCAAAACTTCTACCCAGATTTCCTATGTTTTATTTAACAATTTATAATAATCCTTGATATAATTATAATTTGATATAGCGCCTTAGGTGTTTCGAGATTGTCTCAAGATTGTTAGCAGAAATATGAGGTAATGGGTCAGAGGGAATTTACAACAATGATCATGTCTTCGAGACGTTTCAAAGCGCTTCACAGGAATATACTGTCAAGTGGAGTGACTGTGTATTCTGTGGGCGAAACGCGTCAGCCAATTCCGCGCAGCAGTGTCCCACGAGCAGTCGTGGGCTGAGTGACCAGATTATTATTAATAATTATTATTTAAGATCTCACAGAATTGTGGAATTACTTAGAAATTTAGAAGCCAGTTTTTTTTGTTGGACAAGTTGCATTTATGTATCTGCATATATTTGTATAACACCCTTCGTGCAGGTTAGCGTCCCAGAGTGCGCGACAGTGGTGGAGCATAACGCTGAGACGGGGGGAGGAAGGAGGTGACCGTAGGCACATTCTTAGCGGCTGAAAAAACATCAGTGTATTGAGTTACAGGCCAGCAATCGAATGTTATTCTGAAATACAGAAGGCACTTACTGTGTCTGTGTATTGATAGGCAATGAATTTCCGCATCAGTGCAATTGCAGTACCTCGCTCCTCACCAATCTGAAAAAATCCATATCAAATTGAAATTCTCTTCCTCATAAGTAAGAATTATATCAATAATTGCTTTAAAATAAGACTTAGGTTTATTAGACTTAAGCTTTTCTCTTATAACAATAATTGTCACAATAATATTAACCCTTGCATTTGATACTGCACGTTATCATGTCGTTGAGACATCTCAAAACACTTTGCATTGACTGTACTTTACACATACACTTTATAAGCTTGCACATTTTTACACACTTTGTAATCAATCAGACGTACCTTACACTTTACTGTCCACAAGTTGGGATCCCTAGGTGTGTGGGGGGGGGGGGTGTAGAAGGGGAGAAATATTAAATTGAATTGGCACTAATCCAACTTGCAATTAAAACTAAAATTAAAAAAAGTTCTAAAACATATTTTTAAAAACGTAGTCACTTACTTAACACCTGGGAGTAACTGCTGCTGGGTGATGTCATCAGAAAGCTCATCAGACTGGCCGTAGTGACTGTAAAATGATACAAGGAGCCGTTAGCAGGTACAAACCACCACCATTCTTTCAGAGCCAGCAGACACGACAATGTGAATGTTGTTCCCCTGTAATAATAATCCTATAATAATAATAACCCTTGCATTTCATACAGCGCCCAATCACGTGTTCGAGACGTCTCAAAAGCCCTTCGCAGAAAATGCTGCAAAGTGAATTGACTGCAAATTTTGTGGGCGAAACTCGGCAGCCAATTGCGCACAGAAGTGTCCCACAAACAGTCGTGGGTGTACTGCGTCTTCAGATATTATTTCCTAACAGAAATCGATCTAATTTGTTCTCGAAACAGTCAACATTTTCTGCTTCCACCATCTGTCTGTCTGTCTACATCGGGAGCCCGTTCCATAAGTTTACCGCTCGGTCACTTCAGTCCCTGAAGACCTTTCCCTTCGACCGTACCTACAGTCACCTCCCCTCTACCCCAGGCTCGGCATCATGCTCCGCCACTGTCAAGCTCTCTGGGAAGCTATCCAGCATTCGGGGAGTGATATAAACGCAAATTGTTTTGTTGCACAACAAGCATCTCAATTAAAAACAAATTCTGTACTTGTCCCGATTAAGCAAATCTTAAACTGCCCATTACCACAAACCCCTGCATTTCTGTTCAGCTTATCGGACACAAGTAATGGGAAACATATTACAGGCAAAGATCTCATACAGGAGACGGGAACTGATTGAATACTTAATTCAAACTGTTTACAAGCAAAGCCTCTGTATTGTTCTTGAAAGCTAATAACACAATACATGTAGGCGTTAAGATTTGCCAGGCTAATTTAAGGCACGATGAAGAGAACAAAATATACTTACTGATCTCCGCCAGTTGGCTTGGCATACTTATTCATGTAATATTCCCCAAGTTCTTCCTCCCTCTTATCTCTGTAAGAATCAATGGGTTCATATATTAAGTGCAGCACAAATCCAGAGACAGGAGAAATACAATACAATAAAAGCAATCAGACATTTGATTGTGCTCGCAACTAAAGGACACTTCAAAGGTTCTGCTAAAGGTCTCGTTATAAGCTGTGGAATTAAGAATCGACGGGTTAATATATTAAACGCATCCTAAATTAGGAATTTCTGTGAGTCATGGTGCGCCATCCATAAGAACATAAGAATTTGCTAGGCGAAGGAAGACCATGGTCCATCTCGTTCGACCATAGCTTCCTGGCAGTTGCTTGACATGTCGTGTTCCAGAAATAACACCTCACCTCCAATGATTCAGGAGCCTTCTTGCTCCTGAGTGATCTTCATCGAGCACCAGGTTGTCAATGTTGGAAGCTACAAACAGAATGAAGAGGCATGATTCCTTCAGGGGTCGCCCAGTCCTCATTAACGGTTCACCAATAATTTACAGATAACTTACATGTGGCTACGACTTAATTCCTTCCTTCCTCACTCCCATACCATGGTTCCCTTAGTCGCAAGAGATAAGTATGTGGCAGGCATAGCTGTCAGATAAGATACCCCTGGAAACCAGAATCCAAGGACATTGCCTCCCATTCCTAATATTAAAAAAAATTACTAATGTCCTTGTAGGAACTTGGGATTCTTATCCACAGAACTAATCTCAGATCACAAAGATTGATCACCAAAGGGCTACGGACAGATCAAGAACAACTTGTATTTACACAGCGCTCCTCACCACGATAGCGTCCCAGAGCTCTCAACAGTGACGGAGCACAGCGCCAAGGTGGGGGGAGGTAACTGTAGGCACGGTCGAAGCGGAAGGTCTTCAGGCGTGACCTGAAGATGGGGAAGGAGGAGGCGGCAAGGCGGGGGGATAGAGAGACTGTTCCAGAATTTCAGGGCATAGAGGCTGAAAGCGCAGTCACCCTTGATGGAACAGAGGGCACGAGGGACATGCAGGAGGCCGGAGCCTGAAGTCCGCACCTCATATGAAAGAAAGTAAGTTATATTCAATTCATTCGATTTGAAATCGCAGCAATTGTAAATCAGCCCAAATGTTCATACTGTAAAAACTTCACCAAGATTAACATTAACATGGTTTTTGTTCAAAATTAAAATAAAATATATATGGAGTTCCACACATACCTTCAAGTTCTTCTGCTCGGGAGGGAACACAGTAAGACCCAAACAATACCACCAAAATCAATCATGGGATGAATGAGGGAACAAAAAATTTAAGGATAAAATTAAAACATGGCATGTAACAGGAATGCATGATGTCGAAAGAAAACTGCAACACAAGGGGCAAACATGGACAACTTCCCAAAGAGAGCACTTGCAGGCAAAGACTGTAAACTGGGTTTAATTAAATCGCTCCCAATTAAAACAGAACTTGAAACAAACAGGGCTTGCAATGGTGACTGGCCTGGCGTGCAGTTACAGCGAAGAACAAGATTACTCAGCATCCCCTCCCTGTGTTTGGCAAAGAAGGACATCTCAGAAAAGTAGATTTCTTCATTCGAATTAAGATTTAAACGGCTTAGAGACCACCCCTCTGCCCCACCAATGAGGCACCTATGTCGCCTACATGCTTATAATCCCCCGCCATCAAAACGCTATTACACTACATTCGATATCTCAGTGCACTTTTCATGTCAAGAATCGACATGTACATTTGCCTGGTCTAATAGGCATTAGAAGCGCACACTAAGAGCAGGGAGCGGGACTAGTTGGCAGCTCGGCCAAAGAGCACGATGGGCCGAATGGCCTCCTTCTGTGCTGTAAGAAACATTTGCCCCAAGATTAAAATTGCTCTCTGTTGCACGCAAAACAAAGATGAGCTCATCGGTATAAATTAACAGTTTTATCCTCCCTTAGGTTCAATTGTCTTTTGCACAGTAACTAAAAGGGAAGCACAAAATGTTAAACCAGGCAACTGAATATTTTGCAGTGATCAAGCAATATGTAATAAAATGAAAGACCACAGATTAAACCAACGCGACTCAGCCATTCACTCCAGCTCAACCAGTGCTCTCAATACTGCTGAATCACCAACTAGCGACTCTTACAACCAAACAACCCGGCTCATGGCACCAAAGTGCCTTTTGTGTCCAGTAACTGGGAAACAGTTACACAGCAAAATCACATTCAAATACACTTCATAATACAGGCTTAAGAGGAGGGGGCGGTGAAGTTACCCTTTGATCTGGAGGTGAATACAGGGCATTAGCACTGAACTCACACTGATGCGTTAAGTATTTCTAAACAGCAAAATAAATCTGACTTAACCGCGCAGTGCAGACTGGTTGTAAGGTATTTCAAAATTTACAGCAGGAAACACTTTAAGAGGTGAGGGCTGGCCATCAGGCGGTTTATACTTAAGGCATCAGCCATGGAGAGGCACACGAACAAGGAAGTAAGTCACAACACTGACAAGATTTACCTTTCTCAAGAATGTCTTCCGCTCCATCCTCCCACTGATCTTCATCTTCATACTCATCATCCACATCTTCGAAAGAAACACAGATCAGATTTAAAATAGGGATGTACTACCAAATTCTCACATTCATTAAATTATCTTTTAAAATCATTCAGAAGTTTCCCCACAAAATACACAGTCAATTCATTCTGTGAAGCGCTGTGAGACATCTGAATGACATGATAAGGCACTGTATCAAATGCAAGGATTACTATTATATTGTGCCTTATTTCGGAGACATTAACAAACTATAAAGCATCATTTTAAGCTAAATCTAGAATCACGGTTAGCAACTTATTAAATCACTTTGCACAGCTGCAAACTGAAAAATACTTGCCCCACAATCCTGACATAGACATAGATAGGGAACTCGTTAAAACGGGGCATTTATTCCTACAAATGTGGTTTTAAAAAGAATTACAGAACTGAAAAGGGTGTTTTGCAATATCACAAGTATCCTCAAATCAAAAGTTAAGTGGTTCATAAATTGCACAAACTGGGTAGCCTCCTTAGTCTAATCCAGTGGGGAGGAAGAGGGTCTAACCTTTTGGTTGCTGATGCCCTATTTGAGAAATTTCTTGTGTTTCCCTTCCAGAAACATGACATAATATTGATGGATGGATTATGGAGGGAGCGGGTGGGCCAGTTGAAATGGAGGGAGGGGGTCAGATGAAATCGGCCCGATCTAGACCGAAACACGGTACGCTTAAAAAGTCATCTCAGTACCAGCTTCATCCAAGATGAATCCTCCATGGCGTGGCTTCTTCCTGGGTCGGTCGTCTTCTTCCTCATCGTACTCTTCTTCCTCTTCCTCCTCTTCTTCCTCTTCCTCAACTTCTTCAGCCTCATCCTCTACGTCGACCTTCTCACTCCCACCGCTGACACGCTCTTCTTCCTCCTGAACCACACAAAGGTTAACAATATGGAGGAGGAAGGCTGCATTCAAATCCCCAGACCTCATACTCAGGTTTTTTTTGGTGGGGGGGGGGGAGGGGAGGTGTGGGGGTCAGCCGGGTGTCTGACACCTGCAGAAACCCATCACCATGCTTAAGAGTGCCCAAACCAAACTGAGAATTAATTATTTTTTTAAATGCTCAAAACGCACAGTAAATCTTTACAGCATACCCTGTGAAGCGCTTTGAGGCGTCTCAACGACGTGATAAGGCACTATATCAATTGCAATGATTGTGATTATTATGATTATTTAAGAAGAGTCTCACCAGCTTCAGCTCATACAAGTGGAGAAGGCAGATGAGGGACTTTAGTTACGTGGAGACTAGAGAAGCTGGGATTGTACTCCTTATAGAGCTGTTCAAAATTATAAGGGGTTTTGATAGAGTAGAAACAGGGAGAAACTGTTTCTCCGGCGGGTGGATCGGTAATCAGCGGATATAGATTCAAGATAATTGGTAAAAGAACCAGAGGGGAGACCAGGAGAATTTTTTTTACCCAGAGAGTTGTTACGGTCTGGAATGCACTGCTGGTGGAAGCAGATTTAACAACTTTCAAAAGGGAATTGGATAGGTACTTGAAAAGGAAACTTTTGCAGGACTATGGGCTAAGAGCAGGGAGTGGGAATAGGCAGTAGCTCTTTGAAAGAGCTGGCACGGGCACGATGGGTCAAACAGCCTCTTTGTGTGTTGAAATATTCTCTGATTCCAAGCATGCCAAACCACTATGGATACAGTACAGAGAAAGTTCACATGCCTCGTTTTCCTCTTGCTCCTCTGCTTCACTGCTCCGCGAGCTTTCGTCATCAGAGAAGTTGCTGCCTTCACTGTCCGACATCCTGGATCAGGCGACGTAACCCTGAATGAGAATTCAAAGTAAGCGTAAGATTAAACATTTGACTTGCGTGTTTTTGGGTCTTGATATACAGTATAATAATACTCTTATTTAATATATCATCTTTCACATCAGGAGGCACATCTCAAGTGCTTCGCAGAATATACAGTCCACTACTCAATCCACGATTATTTGTGGGACACTGCGATGGGCAATTGGCTGCCACGTTCTGCCCACAAAATACACAGACAGTCAACTCACTTTACAGTGTATTCTGTGAAGGGCTTTGAGACGTTTCGAAGACTTGATAAGGCGCTGTATCAAATGCTACATCAAGTTATGATTATTATAGAATTTACTGCGTGTTTTGTGGGCAAACAGGCGGCTAATTTGTGCATAGCAACGTCCCACCAACAGCCAATTACATGGGGGAACTGTTGGCGAGGTCGCCAGAAGAGAGAGAAACTATCTCCTCTTTTTGAATCGCGCTCCGAGACACTGTCCTGCGCGGAGGGAGCTATAAAAGTGCAAGTTGTTGCTGTTGATGCATATGTTGTGGGATCTTTAACATCCATCCGAACGGGCACACGGGACCTCATTTTAACACCTCATCCAAAAGACGGCAGCTCCAACAACTCAATGCGGCCCCGGCGCTGCACTGGAGTGTCAGCCTTGACTACGTCCGAGGTGGGGCTTGACCCAACATATCTCCTGACTCAGAGACTACGTGAGCCACAGAAGGCCAAACAAATCAAATTATCACTATTATTTATGCTTTATTTATATTAAAGGAGAGAGAGAGAGAGAGAGAGGGAGAAGGTGAGGAGAGAGAGCGAGAGGGAGGGAGAAGGTGAGGAGAGGGAGAGAGAGAAAGAGAAGGTGAGACAGGGAGAAGGTGAGGAGAGAGAGGGAAGGAGGGAGGGAGAAGGTGAGGAGAGAGAGAGAGAGGGAGAAGGTAAGGAGAGAGAGGGAGAGGTGAGGAGAGGGAGAGAGAGAGAGGGAGAAGGTGAGGAGAGAGAGAGGGAGGTGAGGAGAGAGAGAGGAGGAGGGAGAGAGAGGAGGAGAAGAGGAGAGAGAGAAGAGGGAGAGAGAGAAAGAGGGAGAAGGTAAGGAGAGAGAGAGAGAGAGAAGGTGAGGAGAGAGAGAGAGGGAGAGGGTGAGGAGAGAGAGAGGGAGAAGGTGAGGAGAGAGGAGAGAGGAGGAGGAGAGAGGAGAAGGTGAGGAGAGAGGGAGAAGGTGAGGAGAGAGGGAGAAGGTGAGGAGAGAGAGAGGGAGAGGAGGGAGAGAGAGAGAGGGAGAAGGTGAGGAGAGAGAGAGAGAGGGAGAAGGTAAGGAGAGAGAGGGAGAGGGAGAGGAGAGAGAGGTGAGGGCGAGAAGGCTGCAGCAATCAAACCGCCATCGCCCGCCTCACTCTCTCGCTGAGCCCTGGGTTGAGAGCAGCGGCTGTTAGGCCGCGGCGAGGCCTTTGCCGCCCGCCCGCAGCCTCCCAAACCCGGGCCTTTCTTTGCGGGTGTTACTTGGCGCCGGGACGGGTTGCTTGGCTCCCGGGGCTGTGGGGGGGGTGTGGGGGGAGAGAAAGAGAAGGCCATCCGTGAGGCCGACAACCGCGCCTCCCGGCGCCAACTTTACCTCAGGCTCTCCGGAGGCTCCGCCAGGCGACGTCCAGGTGCGCTCTCTGCGCCTGCGCCGGGGACCAACGGCTTTCGCTCGCGCGCGTCTCCCTCTCTCTCTCTGCGTGCGCGCGCGGGTCCGGGCCTTTGCCGTACGATGACGTCGCCCCCCCCTCCCCACCACCACGCTCGGCGAGTGGGCGTCCGCGTCCCGTACGGCGAGTGACGTCGCCCTCGGGGGCGCCTTTCCGTGCAGTGGCCGAAACGCTTCGGCGTCTTGCCGTACGATGACGTCGCCACCCCCCCCCTCCCCTCCCCTCACACCACACCACTCTTTCGCCTCCGAGCGGCGGCTCCCCAGCGCAGAGCATCGCGGGGCGGGGCGGGGCTTGGACCCGGAGCGGGTTCTTCGTGTTCGTGTTCGTGAATTTCCGGAGGGAAACCAACGCTCGGCCCTTTCCGGCGGGCAGGGCCGCTCGTGAATCTTCGTGCATTGACTGACTGGCTGGCTGGCCGGGCGGGCGGGAAAGAGACGGACGCTGCGTGCGTGCGTGCGTGCGTCACGTCGTCCTCGTCGTCGGGGAGGAGGAGGAGAGAGACGAGAGAGGAGAGAGGAGGAGGCGGCGGCGGCGGCCATGTTGTGGCGAGGCTTCGCAGTCATTGCGTAAATGGAGGGCGAGGGGTTTCGGAGAGCTCGGCGCGGAGAAAAACCGTCTCTCTACGTGACCGTTAATCCTTTAGCGTCTGTTGTGTTCCAGGAGGAAGAGCCGGGGTGGGGTGGGGGGGGAAAGGAAGCGAGAGAGAGAGAGAAAAAAAAAGGAAAGGGGGAGAAAAAAATAAGCAGCAGCGCGAGCTGTTTTCCTGAGGCGAGGTTGAGCGCGAGAGAGAGAGAGTGAGAGAGAAAAAGAAAGAGAGGGAAGAAAAAAAAGAGAGGGAGGGAGGGGTTTTTGTTCGGTTTTGAGGGCCAAAGGAGGAGAGAAAAGAGAGAGAGAGAGAGAGAAAGAAAGAAAGAAAGAGGGGAAGAAAGGAAAGGAGGGAAAGGTTTTTTTTCTGTCAGGGAGAACATGTCACTGGAAAGCCTGAGCCTCACCAACAACCAATGCCCCCCCAAGCAGCACAACATCATCAACCTCCTCACTGAGTCAGGAGACGAAAGGTCGAGTAAAAAACCGCTCTCTCTTTTTTTTGAAAAAAAATTATAAATTAATAAGAATAATAATAATATCAAAAAAAAAATTTCCAAAAGAAAAAAAGCCATATTTTTGTTTTATTCGGGGTTTTGCTGATTTTTTTTTAAATATCTATTTTATATTATATATATATAAACCTTTTTTTTCCTCCCTCCCTCTCTCTCTCTGTCTCCCACTCTCTCTCTCTCTCTCCCATTTCCTTTTAATTTTCTTTTATTTCTCTTCTTCCTTTTTTCTTTTTTTTAAAAAAAAGTTTGGTTTGGTTTTTATTTTTCTGCGCAAAAAAGAAGAAAAATTGTACTTTTCCCACCACCCAACCCCCACCTCCAACCCCCCCATCCCCAAAAAAAACCTTTCCGCCTTAGCCCCAACCTGAAAAATATGACTCCCCCTCCTCACCCCACCCAAAAAAAAGGTTTATTTTATTCATCTGTAGTTCTAACAATAATAATCCTTGCATTCGATATTGCGCCTTTGAGATGCCTCAAAGAGCTTCACAGGATATGATATTTATAGTCTCCGAACACTTATTTTTATGTTAAATGAATCGTCGTCAAACAAAACAAAAAAAAGCAAATCAACCAGCCAAACCCCACCCAAAAAAAATCCTATATCTCTGACCAAACAAACCCGAGGGGGGAAAAATTCCTGGAGATTACAGGTAGAGGAAATTGTAATCTTTTTGTTTGTTGGGGGTGTTTAGTTTTTAATTTCTACTTTCTGTTTTCATTTTATTTTTCTTTCATATTATATATATATATATATAAAATCGAATTTTTATAGCAAACGCTCGTTTGATTTCGATATAATATATATAAAAAAAAGGAACCAACAGGGTGTTTTTTTTTAAAAAAAAGGCCTAATTGCATGCCTGGGTGGAAGGGAGGAATGTGGGTTTGTCTCTTTAAAAACTGCACAGAAACGATTTACACGCAGCGCGTTTTCTACTTTTAAAATCATTTCTACATTTTTTTTTTAAAAAATGTCATCTTGTTTAAAAGGAGTGAAGCCACGGGGTGGGGTAATGTCCGACCGTAACCCTTGAACCTTTGTGTTGGTTTATTCCACCCTTCCCGCAAACGTAATCGGATTTACCTAAGGGAAATAATTGATCCTTATTTGTTCCGTGGAGGGGTGGAAGGGGGAGGTAAAAACTGAGCTCATTCTTAATGCTAATGTGTTGCGATTAATGAAGGGTTTTCAAAATAATGACAATATATATCTGAGGTCCTGTTGTCCCCTTTCACAAATACAGTCCCTTTTACCGGTGGATACAATATTTATTTAAAATTTGTACAATGTTTACGTGACATTGTGAAACAAGATCATACTGTATATTTTCCTACATATAAATCAAAAACAATTGCAACTCATTTGGTTACTTTCACTCCCCTTAGCAGTTAATAATGTGGACAATGTCTGGGCCTTCGCAATACATTCTGCCCCCCACTTCCCCACCACCCCCCCACTCACCACCCTCTCCTGTTGTCTTTTTACGTTCTTTTCGAGCCAAGTTAAAATGGAATATCACAGAGTTTGCATTGGTGATGGCAGGGATAATAAGCACTTTATATACCCAAATACACCTCAGGCACGTTGACAACCAAATAACCAACCTATGTGAGTCTTTATGGTATTCATCCGACCATGTAGCATTTTACCAATGTTACTGCCACTTTGGAACAAACATGCCTTACTCAAATCATTGTTTGCCAAGAGACGTTTTTCTTTTTTTTTAAAAAAAAGTCCATTTTATGGGGGTAAGTACAAGCTGGGGATCTTGGAAAAATAACTTCATTTGTGAATCTACGGATATCGGTTAATTAATGCAGTACAATTTTAATATGGTAAAATAATAATTGCAATGTGAATGGGGGGGGATTTGCTGATGTGTTCAATATATCTCTGAATCACAGTAATGGATATAATAATTGAATGATTGTGAATAGTAGCACCAAACATTAGTGCACCAACACACAATATAATAATAATAATAATCCTTGCATTTGATATAGCACCTTATCACGTCTTCAAGACGTCTTAAAGCGCAATGTCACTGAAAAGCAAGGCTTGAGTTTTGTATATGTGACTCCCAAAATGGGGGAATTCTTGATCCAATTCTGTTATCTATACCGAGATGGTGAAAAAAGCAGACACTTCCTGTATGTGGCAGTATATTTATGGTCATAAATCATCATAATATAAATCATCATAATACTCATCATGCTTACATTTCGTGTATAGTGCGCCTTTCATGTCGGGAGGACGTCCCAAGGCGCTTCACGAGATGTACTGTAAAGGGCATTAACTGTTTTGTGGATGAACTCAGCAGCCAATTTGCACACAGCAATGAACCACAAACCAATTTTATGTGTGGGATTGTCAGCCCTCTTATATAGTCGAATAGTCCCATGGGATCTTGTAACTTCCACCTGAATGTACCTATGAATGTGTGTATATGTGTATCTATATGTGTGGGGTGGGGGAATAATAAGTCAGCCCGAAATACACTCCCCTCAACATACACAGGCCTGAAAACACCAATAATAGACATTTAGGAGTAAGTCACCCTTTTTGCAATCAAAGCCTGAATAAAAGGGCGAATTAAAAGAAAATAGCAAATAGGCAATAACAAAATCAAACTTCCAAATTCATTTATTGTTCAATTGTCCATTCAGCAGGTTACATTCTATTATACTGATCAAACACCGTTTACCTGAATGTTTTTGAGCCAGAATTAAAAGTTCTTTATGGTTCTCTCGGATCAGCGGGAGTCTTAAGTGGAATGAACTGTACGTGCGACAGTGGCTAGTATGACAAACATGTCAGTTGATTTCATCTACGAGTTAAAGCACTTCTTACTTCTAGGCAGGCACGTGGTGCAGTTGATTGGCACGTTAATGTGTTGCACAGTTGCCTTGGAATGGTCACTTTGTGGCTTTCCCAGTCTTGGCCATAAATCAGAGGGTGAGCATTTCCCAACTAAGGGGAAACTGATGGGACAAGCAACTATTGGCAACCCAACCTAGCCAAGTCCAACTGTCTTGTTCCTTTGCCAATAATAATCCTTGAATTTGATATAGCGCCGTATCACATCTTCGAGACGTCTCAAAGTGCTTCACAGAATATACCGAAAGTGAATTGATGATATCTGTATTGGAGGAAACACAATTTTGAAAGAAGCAAAACTCGTATAAGTCGGATCTGTAATAATCCCATAATAATAATGTTCCTTGCATTTGATATAGCGCCTTATCACGTTTCCGAGACGTCTAAAAGCACTTCACAGAATATGCTATATAATCACCTAAGTCATACAAGTGCCCAAATCCTGTTCAAGAGTTTATATTCTATGCAAGTTTGACATAACTCATACGTTGCATAAGTCATATTAAATGCGTGGTCCCAACTGATACAACTTTTGTGCGGTTTACTGTACATATTATCTTATATTAAGCAAGGTGGTATAACAGGCACAGCCACATAATGGCTGCCTCCTTAAAAAAAATTTGAATAGACTTTTTTTAAACAGTCTAAAGAACACAGCATTGACGCAGGGAAATAAACTAAATGAGTTGCATCTTTCATTTGTACGACACTACTGCAAAATCGATTCTGGGGCTTATTCTTTATATAAAAAAAAGTATGGCAATTAACTTCCTGTTTTATTAATTTCAAAGTTTGAATACAGTCGACTGTATTTTTATTGAATGAGTTGAGTCAGAGTGTTCAGCTCCAGCTCGCTCTGACCTTTAGTACAGAGACGCCACATGATTGGGAAAGGACGGGCGGCTGAGTCCACAAACAAGGCCATGAAAATTATAGAATTTTACAGCACAGAAGGAGGCCATTTGGCCCATCGTGCTCTTACCAGCTCTTTGAAAGACATACCGACTAGTCCCACTCCCCCGCATTTTACCCCAACTTGTTCCATTCGCTCGCTCTTACTCGATATCCCTGCAAATTCTTCCTTTTTAAGTACCTATCCA